GTCTCGTCTCGCGAGGCCTCCCCCTCGTGCCAGCGCCGCCTCCTGCCGGCTGACACCCGCCGTTTTTATCTCAGGGTCCTTCTCAGAAGGAGGACGTTACCTACGCAGCCCTGTCTCTGGGTGTCCTGGGTCAGGAGCCCACCTACGGCAACACGGAGCCCACCTACGGCAACATGGACCCCCTCTACGGCAACACGGAGCAGCTCATCACCCACATTCCCCGCAGCAGCCAGGAGGAGCCCGTGGAATACAGCACTGACAGGAGGCACTGAGCCGGCTGAGCCCCTGCTGACCCAGCCCGGCCCAGAGCTCGGGCTTGCGGGACGGGGACCTTCTGCCGGCACCTCCCTGATCTGCCAACACTTCATTTCCCCCAGCGGGGACCAAGCCCTGTGGGAACGGATGGACAGTCGTGTCTGTCCGTCCGCTGCTCACGGGTCTGTCTGAGATGCTGCAGCGGAGGCTGCTCTGCCTGAGCGGGAGCCTGTCCCCCTGGAGCAAGCCCGGCACGTGGCTGTGCCAGCGCGTGGTGACGCTGAATGAGGAACAGGCTCTGCACTGAGGCCCCTTGTCCTGGTTCCCTGGCGTCCCGGCAGGAGCCGCCCTGCTCTGGGCTTCCCTGCCCCGAGCCCGTGGTCAGGTCCTGGCACAGCACGACCCTAAGCCGTGGCCTGGTGCTGAGCCCCTAAGCACACCCTTGTCCTTGCGGCTCTCAGACCGGACTGGCAGCAAGAGGGGCTGGGGGTTCTCTGAGCGAAAGAGCAGAGAGAGAGGCTGTTCACATGTTTTCAGTTATTTAGTTGCATCAAATATTCAGACTTGTGAGAACAACAGCAACTCTATTTAAATACTCCAAGCATGTGATGAATGAACGAAATGCTTCCAGCACTTCCCAGCCCCCAGCCCACCCTCCAGGAATATTCTAGGAGTTCCTCAGGCTCAGGTAGGTCAGCCCCCAACTCCGAGGACCAGCTGAAGCACAAGCGCATCCGAGGCTGTGATAACTGGCATGTGACTTTCACAACAGGGAATTCCATAAGAGGTTTCGTTGCCCCCCACCCTCCCCTCCCAAGGAAGAAGATATTCCACTTAGCAAGTCAGAGCTGGGTGCTCACACAGGGGGATAAACACAGGGTCCCTCGAGGGTTAGGGAGACCCAGGGTGCACAGGGGACACAGGACTTCAAAGGAAAAGGAGGGAGGACGAGGAAAGGACACAGGTGATTAAGTGAAGGAGACGCTCCGGACCCCCGGGGCTCTGTGGGCGGCCCCTCCCCCATCACGCGCCCCCTTTGAGCAGTAAACAGGGCCACACAGACGCACAGAATCCGGCGGTTTCTCTTTAAGTCCCAAAGCCAAGTCGGGGGATGGAGAGAACTGGTGACGGCGCCTCTTGCTGCTTTGAGGCCGGGCAGGGACAGGAGGAGAGTCTTACCTTGTGCAGGACGCGCTCATAGAAGTCAGGGCCAGCTCCCCCTGCTAGGAGTCCAGTCTCTGCAGGTCCATGCCCAGCGTGGAGGCCGCTGCTCCTTGCTCTCCAGCGCTCTGTGTCAGCACTCCTCACAGCCCTGTCCCAGCTCCTCTGGGCATGGTGGGCTGGGTTCTGAGCCCCCTGACCAGGCTGCACCCGGGTTCAGCACTGGACAGCTCCCGCAGGTCCAGGACAGAGGACCCTGCTCTCCTCCCACATTCAAGGGAACCTGCCCCAATCCCCTTTGGGTTTCTCTCTCACCACCTCCTATCATGTCTGCTCCCACACGCGCACTGACACCTGAGGAGAACAGTGTGTGTTTCTCCACTGCAGGGCGTGTGGATGCGCGGATGGGAAACAGGAGCTGGGCTGTGAGTTTAATGGGGAGAAAACACAGAGCTGTAAGGATGCACAGAAAGGGGGAGCAGGGGAGAAAGGGAGGCTGGAGGCCCCTGGACTTGCACTTGGGGAGAACACAGCAGTCAGGGCCCTGCCCAGCCTCCTGGAGAAACAGCTCACCCCAAACCTCCTCCATGTCAACCTCCACACCTGCACCCACCCTGCCAGAGCAGGAGACCCCCTTCCTGCCCTGGGCATGTCCCCTGAGCCTGGCCCACTGCCCCTCCCTCCCAGGCCCTGGTCACTCTGAGCAGAGGCCACCGTGACAGGCTGCAGGGAAGGAGAAGTGGCTTTTACCCTCTGCCTGTCTGACCTGGAAGCTTCCTCTTCCTCCTCTTTGCAGGTCTCCCCTTCTTCTAGGCTGCTGGTCCCCTCCCTGCAGGAGGCTGTTGGCTTCATGACCTGGGAGTGACCTCCCCACACCTCCCCCTGTTCCCTTCTCTGCCCCTCCCCTCCCGACCCCCCTGTTTGCTGCGTCCTCTCCTTGCTCGGACCCTCCTGGCATCTTGTGGCACCTGCCCTCCATGCACTTCCCTCCGTCTCCAACTCACCCCACAGACGACTCTCACACACACCCCAGCTGTCCCCCATTTCCAGGCCAGCTCTGGTCTCACTGCCAGTGCCTCCGTCCCAGGCAAGGGGCAGAGAAGGGGGCGTCGGTAGAAAACTCCAGCTGGACTGTCCACTCGCTCTGGTCCTTTCCTTGTCCCCCTGCTCTGTTCAATGCAGAATCCTCAGGGGCTGCCGCCCATTCTGTGGGTCCCTCATAGTGGTCAGTGGGAGCCACCCGTGGACATGGGTCCCATCGTACCTGGGGCCATGGCATGAACTTGCTGAAGGAAGCTGACCTGTTTCACAGCTCAAGGCTCAGAGGTCTGCCAGCTCCATGCGGGCTCATTCTCTGTTACACCTGGAACCTGGATGATGACCCTGACTCTGGACAAATATAGAGCAGGACCCACAAGGACAGAGTCATGGAGATGAAGAGCAGGATTCAAGGGAGGGGAGAGCAAAAAAGTCGGCATTTTGAGAACAACCATGGAGAATTTCACATAAAAATTAATTTCTACAGGGCCTCCCTGGCGGCGCAGGTGGTTGAGGGCAGCGCTATAAAGCTGTCCGCAGCCTCTGCAGTGCCGGTTTGATCCCCACCGGCTGCGGAGCAACCCACATGGTACAGCAGACCTCTCCTGTCTGTCCGCTGCTCCCCTCAGCAGTGTATTTCAGTCAGTCTGCCTGTTCTGTTCTGTCTCTGGTGAATCCTCTCACCATCCTGCACCTCTGGCCTGTCCCCCGTTTCTTGAATAAATAAATAAATCTTTAAAAAAATTAATTTCTACACCAAATATTTCATCCAAGGGTTAGATGGCCGCGTACAAATAGAAGACTAATTAAAAGTCTCCAAAAATTACAAGGAAAATTAATAGTGATAAAAAATGATAAAGAAGAGATACAAAAAATCAAATCCAATGTAGGGGAGAAGGAACAGGGCATGGAAAAAGAGGGGCACCCCTGAGGGAATGGGACAGCAGCAGCAAAGTCACTAGAGGCCGTCAGAAGAGCTAGTTTCTTGCATCAGGGAAATAGGCAAAGAGGAAGAAGAAGAACCTTCCAGAATAAAAGGCAGAGGGTAAAAGCCACCCCTCCTTTCCAATAATCTCATCATGGTGGCCTCTGCTCAGAGTTTGTAGGGGTCTGGGATGAAGGGGCGTCTTGTCAGGCTCTGGGGGGACAAGACCCAAGGCAGGAAGGGGGTGTCCTGCTCTCAGGTAGGGCTGTGAAGGAGGTTGAGGATGGGGGTCTTCCTCCCGGAAAGTGGGGAGGCCAGAGTGCTGCGCTCTCCTCAAGTCAAGTCCATTAGGTCTCTAAATCACCAGACTCCCCACCCAACTCTATTGTCTCTTCCTAACAGAGAAGCCTAAACTCCTCCTATCAGCAGCACCCCCTGCTTTGCTACTTTTCTTTTTGTTTCTTCAAAAATTTATTTCTTCATGCATGCAAGAACCGGGTACAGGCCAGATGCACGGGAGGGTGAGAGGATTCACCTGAGAAAGAGTGGGGAGCGGAACAGGCAGACTGACTGAAGTACACTGCTGAGGGGAGCAGCGGGCAAGCGAGGAGAGGTCTGCAGCACCATGTGGGACCCTCGCCTGCTGTCTGGGATAGAACCCGCGCTGCAGAGGCTGCAGACAGCTCCACAGCGCTGCGCTCAACCGCCTGCGCCACCAGGGGAGGCCCTCTGCTCCTTTCTTGTGCATCTGCACAAAGGTCTTGTCTCACACAGCCCGAAGTTCAGTGCCCCAAAGAAACACCCCCTCATCTCCTCATATGTGAGGAAGAGAAGCAGGTGCAGGTATAACAGGAAGGGAGGAGAGAGAAACTCAGAGGAATTCTCCCAGGTCCTGACTCAGAAGCAGGTTCAGGGGTCACTTTTGTCCTGGCCTCCAGCGCTAGAAAGGAGCGGTGCTCGTCGTCAGGAGGAGCCGCGGACAGCCAGACAGCCGGGAGGGCCTCAGCTGTTACCCGAGACTCGGCGTCTGAGCAAATTTGGGGCAGGGGCGGCTGGGGAGAGCCATGGAGAGCAGCGCTGCCTCTCCCTCTTCCGGCCAAGCTTTATTAAAGACATGAACAAAGGAACAAAACATAGCACGCCACTGTGTGTTGCTGATCCAGATGAACAGGTTCCTGCTGAAAACAAGCTCCTGTAGCCAGTAGGGCGCGTGCACACAGCCAGCGTGTCCTCAGAGGACAGGAGTGAGGCCTGGGAGAAGTTCTGTTCGCAGAACCTCAAAGGTCTTGGAACTCCGTGTGCAGAGTGGGCAGGTGCTCTCGGAGAACTCAGCTCCCTCTGGGGCGGCAGACGCCCGGCAAGGAGGCCGGAGACAGGAATTAGGAGCCCGATGAACAGAGCCAGAGCAGGGCTTCTGTCCTCCTGGAGCCCGGGGGTAACAGTGTCACCCCAGCCTGGACGAGCTCTCAGTCCCCTCCCCTGGGATGGTCGGAGGCTGACTGCGGGGCCATGACTGACTGACTATTGGTCACTGGTGACTGGTCCCTCCCCCACCCAGAAATCAGGAGCCAAACTGGAAGGTCAGCCCGACTCGGTTGGTTTCCCTGACGCAGCAACACCCTTAGGTGCTCTCCAAGAGCCCCTCATGGACGTACAGAGACGTCTTAGCTGTCAATGAGGTGAGTTTCAGGATCCCGAGAGCAGCTGCAGGATGGGGCCTGAGACCACACACAGACGCCCATTCTAACCGCGCCAGCCTAATGCCGACGCTATAGAGTTGGCACCTTCCTAAAGGCGCCCTCACCCCTCCTGCCATGTGAGGTACGGCAGGAAGGCAGCACCTATGCCGCGTAGGGTGTGGGCAGACCATGCCCTGTGCACCCTGATCCTGGACTGGCGCTCCAGGATCTGCGATGGCAGCATCTGTGGGTCATGAGCCCCAGTCTCTGTCCTCGTGACAGCAGCCCCCGACGTGAGGGTGAGCATGAAGTTTCAGCTCCTCTGGTCACAGCGGCCCCGGTGCCCCGAGTCTGCTCTGCAGAGGCTCAGCTGTCCGGGAACCTCACACTGGACACCAGCCCTGGGCGTGGGCGAGGAAGACAAATCGAAAACACAGGACTGCAGCGGAAGCCTGAGGTCCTGGTGACGCTGATCGGGGACCCTGAATTCAGGGGTACCAGAGCTAGAGGGCATGTGTGGATGAGGGCCTGAGGCCCAACACACACAAAAGCAGGGAGACATTCACCAGACACCAACAGACATGCAGACCGTGACGGGGGATTTATTGGCCAGAGGTCGTGTCCACCCTCCAGCGGGGCCTGTCCCGGGGGGCGCGGAGGCATCAGTGTCCCTGGTTCTCGTAGTCAGGCTGACTCTGCCTCCCCCAGGGCGCCTCTGAGGCCGGTGCACCCAGAGGACGGCACTGAGCATGCCCAGGAGCAGGGGCACCTTCAGGAAGACCAGGAGCAGGAAGTAGACGCTGCCCAGCAGGGAGCTGTGGGGGGACAGGACACAGGAGATGAGCAGCCTCCAGGGCCCCAACCCTAGCCCTCTCTGGGCCCATCGGGGGCTCCATTGGCTATGAGCCCCCCAGAACTCAGCCAGGACAGCTCCCCCAGGCCACGGTCATGCTGCTCCAGGGTGAGCCTCCAGCTCCTCCTGCCCCAACCACTTGGCCCCATCCCTTTCCTGCTGAGCCCACCTCCCTTGCCTTCCACCTGGTCCTCATCCAGCCTGGACACAGGCCGGGCTCTCTGGTCAGTGTCGCCCTGGCTGCTGCCGTTGTCCCCCCGCCGCTGCTGCATGTAAACCAGCTGTCAGGGGCACATCCGGGTCACAGCTCAGAAGACCTGCACAACCCCACACCTGGAGAGGCCACTCTGCTGTGGCCTTGACCCATGGGGACCCTGCCCCTCGGTTCTGTGTGTTCCTGCTCCTCCCTGTCTGTTCCTTGTAGTACCGGTGACCTTACTCACCTGGATCCCTACTACCCCGGGGCCCCAGCCCCACAGTGTCTGGACCCAATCCTGGGCCACCCTCGCTTCTCCCTCAGCCAGGGAGGCCGCTCTCAGCTCCCAGGTGTTTGGGGACATCTGAGAGCATCTGACCCGAGGGCGCTTGAGGCAGGATGACACAGGACATGTCCCCGGGGAACTGAGGAGAGGCCGTGGGGGTCCCACATGGACATGTCCCCACCAGGCCTGAGACACCTGTGTCCTCTCCAAGCACCACACCCCTGGACTTTCATGCCGCCCCCTCCCCTGCGCCCTGCCTATGCCCCCACTGCACATACCCATGGTTTATACAGAGCTTCGGGGGCCCTGAGGAGGAGAACTGTGAAGGGGAGGGGTTCAGAGCAGGCCCCCGCTGGGCTCTGCAGACATGTTTGCAAACCTGAAGGTTGAGTGAATAAGGCCCAGAGTTGTGTGGGAACGGCGTGGAGAAGCCTCCCTGGCCCCCGCCCAGCACTGGTGGAATAGTGTCCCCCCTAGTCCAGGCCACTAAAACCCGGGGTGACCTATGGACAGGAGACCCTTGCAGGTGTCATCAAGGTGAGGAGGTCGCTCTGGGTGGGCCCCTGTCCAGTGACTGGTTCCTTATAAGAGGGAAAGAGGCCCAGGGACCTGCAGGGAGAGGCCCCGGGAGCAGGATGGAGGGGCCACACGCCAGGGGACACCAGGGATGCCCCAAATCCAGAAGCAGGAGAGGGGCCGGGACACACCTGCCTCTGACCCCCAAGAAGAGCCACCCCACCTTCACCTGGTTCAAGTCTGGCCTCCTGAGCTGGGAAAGAAGGGGAAGCCCCTCAGCCTCCCCCTCAAAGGACCCAGAAGGTCGGGAGTCAAGTGCTGACCGGGACCTGGGCCTACAAGGGGCTCCTGGAGGAGCTTCAGCCCAGCAGGTACAAAACTCAGCGGCAACAGAGCTTTCTTACCTGCTAGTGGTTACATTTGGGGGGCCATTGTCATCTTCTGGGGAGACTGGTGCTGTGCGGTGGGTGGTGGTGGTGGGTGTGGTACTCATGGTGGTGCTGGTGGTGGACACTGTAGTGGCTGCTTGGACACAAATCAGATACCACACTCTGCTTGACCACCTGATCCCAGCCCTGTGATTCCTCTGAACCTTGGGGTCCCAAGGATGCCCTGGTTGAGGAACCTGGACCAGGGGTGTGGGAGGGGTCTGGATGTGTCTCTAGACCTCAAGCTGACTCAGGAGCCTGGGTAGGTGGGCTGTGGAGCAGGAGGGCATCCCGCAAGACCCGGGAGCAGAGGGGCAGGCCCTCAGGGCCAGGTAGCTGGAGTCCTTGAATCATAAACAGCCCTGCTGCTCCTGAATCCCCCTCAGACCCCCTGTTCATCCTCCAGCGAGGACAGAGCAAAGCAGGGCTGCCCTGTGGCTGACAGATCGGCATGTGACTCAGGTCAGGACCAGCCTGAACCCAAGAGTCCCAAGGAGACCTGCACTTTGGGCAAGTGTTGACCTTCTCTGACAGGACGGCCCTTCCCAGGACAAGGTCACGATTCCATAGGAAGTGAACGGCTGCGCCTGCAGCGTGACCTCCCTCCAGGTCCCCAGGGTGGTAGGGTGGTAGGGGCAATGCTGACCCTTGTGCTCACCCCATTTCCACCAGTGCCTGGGGGCGGTCAGCAGGAGGGGAGGCCCAAATTCACTGCTTGAAGCTCAGGAGAGGGGACCTTGAAGCAGCCCCTCCCTCAGGGTCTGAATTCTAGAAAGACTCTGAAAGGACACCCTATAGCAGGTGCATGAATGGCTCGTGGTGGGATTCCAGGCCCCAGAGGTGCGGCCCATAGGTTATGAAGACTTTTCCAGGCTCAGGAATGAGCCATGGTCTGAGCCGGGCTGACCCTGCCTGGACATGGAGCTTGGGAGGGAACAGTCACGATGAGGTCTCAGCCCAACTCCAGAAAGGACAGGGAGGTCCCCGGAATCACTGAAAAGAATTGGGGTCTCAAGCCCCATGGAAGGGGGTCCCTTTGCCCATGTGCTGACCAGGGCATCACCTGACCTCTGTGACATGGATGGAGGGGCTGAGCCGTGCAGAAGGGCACTGTGAGCCACAAGGATCCTCCCATCAAGGAGGTGCCTGGAGCCTTGAGCATCCAGGAGAAGCCCCCCTCCCAGCACCCCCTCCCAACGCCCATGGGTGAGGCTCCCCCCTGCCCCGGGACAGTCACCCTGAGTGACAGTGACCCCTGGGAGGACCTGAGGGACCAGGTCAGAGCAGGCCCCGCAGAGACACAGCCACACGCACAGGCGCTCACCTGGGTCAACGGTCACTGTAACTTGGGCATGAAGGTCAGCTCCGGTTCTCTCAACCCCACACCAGTAAGTGTCCGCATCACCCAGCGTGAGCGCCTCCATGGTCACGCTGAACGTGCGGTATCTCTGATCGTCCCTGATGGACACGCGGCCCTTCTTCACCTCCTGCTCCGAGCCAGTGGTTCTAACAAGGGTGTTGCAGCTGCCCCAGTCAGCCCCTCGACACCAATACTTCTTGTGGGTCTCGTAGCCTGGGTCATAGCGATACCACACGGTCAGCGAGCCCCGCTCCCGGCCCTTCACTGCGCCTGGACCCGTGACGGCAGAGGAGCCTGGAAAACACACGTCCATGCCCCTGTGACCCCACCTGTGCACAGGCCCAGCCTCCTGCCCTGCGCCTGCCCCCTCAACCCAAGGCGGGGAGGTGGATACAGCCATGGAGGGAATGACCCCAGGAGAGAGGCCTGTGTCCTTCTACATTCCCCTGGGCAAAGCCACAAGTTAGTACCTGAGACACAGCTCAGAGTCAGAGACAAGAGAGGCTGGCCCTGAGCAATGACAGCCCCATATTCACTCTCCCCCATCGTCGCTGTATCTGTGTCTCCAGAGAGGCCCCTTTGCACCAAGCCTATGTTGTTCCACGTGGTGGGGAACAAATCCCAGAGGACCCGCCTCCCCAGAAGAGGCCTGTGCCCAGCCCGCACCAGGGCCGGGAGGTTCAGCTGACTCCCCCGTACCCCTGGAGTAGGGGTGACCCCATGGCTCTGAGCTCCTTGTGGTTCCTCGGGAATCCAGCTGCAGGGACAGGTGTGGTGCTGACTGGGCACTGCTGCCCAGTGGCCACATGCACTGTGAGTCCATGTCATACGGGGGCCACGTCTCCCACTGAATGTTGCCAGTTCCCATTGCAAGCTCCTAGCCAGGTGGGCTTGTGAGAGGAGCAGGGTCAGGCGTGACACAGCTGCTGCTTCGTGCCTCCCCGTGTTGGCAGATGTTGTTACCCCCGGGGGGAATGACTCAAGCAAGAGCTGAGAGACCCTGACACGCCTCCTTGTCCCCATGGATCGAGGACTCCAGGTGTTTGGTGGTTCAGTCCAGGCTTTTGCTTGAAGGACTCAGAGTAACGGACACAACTAAACGGGACCTGCTCAAAAACCTCCACAGTTACGGAGCCCCAGGGAGCCCTGCCCAGGGGTGCAGCCTCTGACCCATGCTCATTTGCGTGAGTACAGCTGCGATGTGCCGTAGCCTGGGGTGGACGAGGCCGGGTGGCCACGAGCATCTCACAGCTGCCATCAGTGCTGCCAGTCCTCCCTGAGTCTTTGGTGTTGTAGCCTCGGCCATAGCGACACCTCATGGTCAGTAGCACCGCCAGCAGCTCTGATGGCCAGGACTGACCATCAGAGAGATGGACCCATAGGACTGACCCAGGCCCTCCCCACAGCCTCGGAGCAAGCCTGGACCCCAACCCTCGAACCCATGCCTGCCGTCCTGTTTCTCAGTCCTGCCGGGTCTGAAGAGAAATCCCCAGAGGGACTCAGGCCGCTTGAGCAGCCCTTGGTGCTGGTGACAGTCAGCTTTTTGGGGTTCGCATTGCCCCGTGAGGATGGAAACAGGCCCTGGTGAGCACCTTATTTTTTTTGGAGGCCTTCACTGAAACTCTTTTTTAATTTCTCCTCAAACCCTGAGTGGGCTCCCACTCTGTCCTTCCTTGTGATCCTCCTCGTCAATAACAGCCTCATGGTCACTGACCCAGGGGGTTCACGGCGGGCATTGGGGACCAGGCTTCTCCTTTCCCAAGTGGGCCCCCAGACAACAGGCTCCCCTGTCTGCCCCATGCCCAGCCCTCACCCAAGGGCACCGCGGCCGGCAGATGCGTGTCAGGACCAGCTCTCAGGCCTAATCCAGGTCACCTCCTCACCTTCTCAGGGGAGCAGGGAGCGCCTCTGGCCCCAGGGGAGCCCCCAGGTCACCCTCCTGGCCCAGGCCCCAGAGCAGGCCCCACACCCTCGGGTTTTAAAAGCCTTAGTGATGACACAGAACCTCCTTTCCCGGAAGGTCAGTGATCACACACTTCACATGCCAGGTCATCGTGGAAACTGGTGCGCGCGCTACTACATTGCTCATCATTCATGCACTTTTCTGCAGATGCATTATTTTCCGCTATTAAAATAACTTGTAGGTATATAATAAGTCCAAAGCCGTGTTGTGGTGAGGAAGGACACATTACGGGTGTATTAAATACTGAGGAAAAGCCACAGCAGAAATAATTAAGATTTTTAACACACACAAAGACATTTCAGAGAGACAGAAAAGTTTAATAAAGCAAAACATACATATGATCCTGAATTAAGATTATATTTATGTTAGGCCTCCCTGGTAGCCAAGGGGTTAAGTCCCAGTGCCATCACAGCCACTGCAGCACGAGTTTAATCCTCAGCCAGGGAGTGACCCACACGGCCCAACAGACCTCTCCTGTCTCCCCACTGCTCCCCACAGCAGTGAATTTCAGTCTGTGTGCCTGTTCTGCTCCCCACTCTGTCTCTGGCGAATACTCTCACCCCCTGTATGCTGGTCTAAACCTCGGTTCTTGTAAGCATAAGTAAATAAAAAATCTTTTTATAAAGACTATATTTAAAGATATTCAGATCCATTACTAAAGCCACGTAGTTTTTGAATAATGTGGTGTTTTGAATAATGCACGCATGTAGCCCCTTTAGCTATACTAATGTAAAAAGGGACATAATAAAGAGTTTATCAGTAAATTTTTGACATACATTTCTGCTTTTCAGAGTCTTTTCTCCCACATAAGTGATGATCAAATCTGTGGATAATAAATAAATGACTGTTTTGTTCCCCATTGCCACCTCCTTCTAGAAGAGACTCTGCTGTCTGCCCCAGAGTTGGGGTTACGGGTCCTCAGGGGGCCCAGGGAGGATGAGAAGTAGCTGAGGCTTGTGGGCATGGACCACCCATGCCCCTCTATCTGTCTGAGCATCCAGCAGCTCCCCCAGGGCCATGACACTGCCCAGAAACAGGCACTTCTGATGTCTCACCCCACCAGCCACATCCCCTCTCCCACCGGCTCCCCAGCCGTGACCCCATGAGCCTGGCTTGCTGCCCTCACCCATGGACCAGCTCTGGCCTTTGGCGCCTCCAGAGCAGACACTCAGGCGCCACGTGTGCCCTGAGCCTCCCCAGATACCAGTTGCCGCTCCCCTGCCAGTGCCCCCCTGGGCTCCAGGTCCTGGGGGCTGAGGTCCCAGAACCCCTTCAGCCCTTCAGAGCCTGGGCCTCCTTAACAGGCCTGCCCTGCACTGAGACCTGCTCCTGAGGAGAGAGCAGGCCTGGGCCCTCGGGACCCCTCACCCTGGGCCCCCAGCCAGGAGCAGGCTCTGCCCTCAGGGCGCCTCTGCTGGCCGGTGCCCTCTGTCCCAGCACGGCAGGGCCTGTGAGAGACCCTGGGTCCTCCCCAGGGAGGGAGAGTCTGCAGGGAGGATGGCCCTGCCCTGTCCCCTGGCGCGTCCCCACCCCACAGACACTGTGTCCTGCCCCAGCCCCACAGCCTCCAGCCCAGGCCCAGCCCCCTCACCTGGGGCCACGAGCAGGAGCAGGGCCGGGAGCAGACACGCCAGCTGCTCTCCCATCCCTGCTGACAGGCGCCGGCCCTTCGAGCCCTTGAGGCCAGCACAGGAGGGACCCTGAGTCCGCTTCAGAGTCCAGGGACCTGGAGACTCTCCTTTCAGTTTCACCCTCATCACTGTCTCCACATCTGCAGGGACTTCCCTCTTGACATGTTAGGGCAGAGGGAGGTTCTCTGGGGCGCTGACCTCAGGGGTGAGAATCAAGAACTTCATGGAGATGGGAAAGGAAAGGAGCCCAGAGGCAGCTTTGACCAGGAGGGGGACAGGGTCTCTGCCAGGAGGGGACCCCACAGCTGGGTGAGGGGCGTGGAGAGAGGGGAGCCAGGCAAAATGAGACTAGAGACCCACTGGACCTCACCTTGTGGGGGGATGCACCTTTGAGGGCCCTCCGATTTCTTAGGAACAGCCCATCCCAAACCTCCTTGAGGCTCCCCCCAGAGCAGGAGACCCAGTTCCTGCCCTGGGGCATGTCTCCCTGAGCCTCACCCACTGCCCCTCCCTCCCAGGCCCTGGTCTCTCTGAGCAGAGGCCACCGTGAGGGGCTGCAGGGAAGGAGAAGTGGCTTTTACCCTCTGCCTGTCTGACTGGAAGCTTCCTCTTCCTCCACTTTGCAGGTCTCCCCTTCCTCTTGGCTGCTGGTCACCTAATTTCAGGAGGCTGTTTGCTCTTGACCTGCGGGTGACTTTCCCACACCTCCCCCTGTTCCCTGCTGTGCCCCTCCCCGCCTGACCCCCCTCTTCGCTGTGCCCTCTCCTTGCTGGGCCCCGCCTGGCATCTCCCGGCACCTACTCTCCATGCCCTTCCCTCCACCTCCACCTCACCCCACAGACGACTCTCACACACCCCTGCCGTCCCCCATTTCCAGGCCAGCTCTGGTCTCACTGCCAGTGCCTCCGTCCCAGGCAGGGGCAGAGAAGGGGGCGTCAGTAGAAAACTCCAGCTGGACTGTCCACTCGCTCTGGCCATTTTCTCGTCCCCCTGCTCCATTCAATGCAGAATCCTCAGGGCTGCCACCTGTTTTGTGGGTTCTTCACAGTGGTCATTGGGAGCCACCCGTGAAGGTGGGGATCCTGCCTTACCTTGGGTACTGACCTTTAACATAAAGGAGGTTCTGTTTTTTCACTAAAGCTTTTAAAACCCAAGGGGCATGGGGGCTGCTCTGGGGCCTGGGCCAGGAGGGTAACCTGGGGGTTCCCCTGGAGCCAGAGGTGCTCCCTGCTGCCCTGAGAAGAGGAAGATGGTGACGCTGGATCAGGCCCGAGAGCTGGTCCTGACACTCCTCTGCTGGTCACTGACCCCCGCAGGGCACTTATGGCAAAGGGGAAGAACCAGGTCATCAGAGCCCCCACACCCCTCGAACCTGGGAGGCAGGTCATGCTGCAGGCGCAGCCGTTCTCCATCCCATGGAATCCTGACCTCATCCTGGGCAGGATCAAACATCACAGAAGGTCACCACTTGCCCACTGTGAACACCGTGGACTCGGGCTGGTCCTGACCTGAGTCACTCGCTGGTCTGTCAGCCGCTGGGCAGCCCTGCTCTGCTCTGTCCTCACTGGAGGATGAGGTGGCTGGGGGTGGGGTGCGGGCAGGACTGGCAGGAGCAGCAGGGCTGTTCAAGGTTCAGGGACTCCAGCGGCCTGGCCCTGAGCACCAGCCCCTCTGCTCCCAGGGCCCGCAGGACGCCCTCCTGCTCCACAGCCCCACCTG